ATACACAGATGTGCATGTGTGTGTGTGCATACATGTGTGGAAAAACAGATGAGCGCGACGTTGCCGTTGTACAACTCGTTTGCAGGCGGCTCAGCTCACAATGTGAGTGAAAAACGGCAACAAGGCGCAGGCAATAGGAAAACAGCAACAACAGCCGCAGCCGCAGCGACAGCGACAGCGGCAGCAACAAAACCTTAGGCAAATTACACACACACGCACAACATACATATATAACCAAATATATATTACTTGCATGCGTGTGTGTGATTTGGGGGCGCGTTGACTGCGAGAAACGAGTTGGAAAATCAAGATACTGACTGCCGATGAGAAATGTTTGGAGCAGCGGCAGCAGCGACGCCGGCAGAGCTGCAGCGCCCATAAAAACGTTGAACGGCCACGACTGACTTTGTATACAGCATTGCCCATGTATGCGAATGTGCATATACTCATGCACACACATGCACATACAATATATGTACCTATTTATGTACAGCAATAACTTCGTGTGTGTGTGTGTGTGCGTGCGAGTGGGACATGCGGGAACCTGCTGTGCGCCAGAAAAACAGATGATGAGCGAAACAGCTGCAAAGTCAAATGTTGCTCCATGCTCCGTTGTTGTTGTTGTTTTCGTGTCAGAGAGCAAAGGCTCAAGAGTTGAGTCGCATCAGCTGTGCGCTGTGTGCACACAGCTCAGCGGCACACTCGGTCTGCCGTCAGCCGTCAGCTGTGAGCTGAGCGAGCTGTGCGCTCAAAGAGCAAAATTTAAGAGCAGCACAGACTGACGTTTGCTCTTGAGTGTTGTGTGCGTTCGCAAGTCACTCAAAGTCGTTATTTCAATTGAGTATGCTGTGCACACATAAGAGTAATAAAAACTCAACAAATACAACTCAATTCGTTGAATCAAAAATTGTGCAATCAGAGATACAAAATTTAAAAAAAAGAACTCTCATTTGTTTTCAGTATCCTCGCACTCACACACACACACACATTCGCATTTATGCTAATGGCGACAACAACTTTTAATTTCACAAAACTTTACGCAAAATTGTGTAAAAGAAACTTTTTGAAGCGTTATTGAGCATAAATCAATTGTGCTGCATCTTTCAGATACTTTTCATATGTTAAATACTTGCACAATAATTAATGGAATTAATTGATTACACATTTAAAATTGCCTTTGTACGCTGTTCTTCTTCTTCTTCTTGTTTTTGTTGTTGCCCTGCTCACACGCTCTTCGCTCTTTGCTGTGCGCTGTGCAAACTTTTGGCCGATAGATGGCGCCAGGTGTATCGTTTTTGAGTGTGAAATAAAATTGTTTTCGCATTTTTCCAGCTTTTTCTTGTTTTCGCTGTGTGTGTGTGGGTGTGTGTGTGTGCGTGTGTGAGTGGGCACGTCAGCACTTTATTATCTGCAAATTATGAATCAATTGTCATTAATTGTGATTCGCTTATCGAATTGCATTTACATACGCATAATCTATCAGATACAAAAGTATCTTTTATTTATTAAACAAATCTGAGACAGAGTATCTATAAAAATAGTCAGGTTTTATGTTTATTTGGCATCATTATAGATTTCCGTGAAATGTAGACGTACATTTTAGAGATCTGCATAGACAATTTCCGAGAAAATTTGCCTTTTCATTGGCACATAAAATAAAAAATCAAGAAAAAGTAAAAGAAAAACTCAACTTGATTCTTGTTAAATTGCCGGTGCTTTTCTTTGCCGCGCACGTTTTTCTGCTCATTTCGCCCATATGAAAATTGATGCTCGCGTGTGTGTGTGTGTGTGTAGGAACCTAGGAAAATTGGAAAATGTGACTGCTCTGTTTTAGAGGGCACAAGAATTTGTTGTCGTTTTTTGAATAAATATATCTTTAGCTGCTAAATGCACTTTGATTTTTATAAATGGATGTGCGGAAAATGCGCAGGTTCAATCTGAAGCTACAACAAAAAAAGATAGAGAGAAAAGATAGACAGGCAGTCGGATAGAGGGACATTCGGTTTATTATCTGGTTAAAATATCTACACAAAAGCTAATGTATCTGACAGCAGCATAAGATACACACACTTCACGGAATTTCATTTCAATGGGATACGAAAATTCTATTGACACACTCGCACACACGCACAATGAAACAGGTTCAGATACATTTCAATCTTTCAATCTGCGTGCAACAACAACAACAACAACAGCAAGAAGAGGCAGGCCATTTCATAATCTAGGAGATGCATTCAATTGAGATGAAAGGACACAACAGCATGAAATCCTGATATGAATATCAAATTATTCTCGACCAAACACAACAAAAAGAGCACAAAAAAAAGAAATGAAAATGGACAGCGAGAAAAAGATTCTTTCAAATGCTGATGAAATTCGTAGCTGAGCAACACAAAATAAATGAATAATGTATAAATATGTGTTGGGACATAAATGAACATCGGGCTGTGCATTTCCTACTACGCCAATAAATGCAAGAAACCTTATCTATTTGGCGTCAATTGATTTTATATAATAACATCTATCTATTAGATATAATCAAATGTTAAACAACAGGTTAAAATGTGCAGAAACATCGAGAAGTTGTCGGTTCTACTTCTTCTTCTCCTTCTTCTTCTTCGCAGCAGCAGCAGAGCTTCAACTTGTTGAGAATTGTAAGCGAGAGAGAGAGAGAGAGAGAGAAGCAAGCAGACCAGACTCCACTTTCTGTGTGCTCGCCACTAAAAAAGAGGTCGCTGGTTCGACTCGCTCACTCAGTTTTCCTCTACGAAATGCGGGATAAAACTGATTTCGGCCAAAAGTTATTTTTTATTTGAAACACATTTGGTTTAAGGTTCAAACCGATTCTTTTTACTACTCCAATAAATGCAAGAAACCTTATCTTTTTGGCGTCAATTGATTTTATATAATAACATCTTTCTATTACATTTAATCAAATGTTAAACAACAGATTGGAATATACAGAAACTTCGAGAAGTGGTCGGTTCCTCCTCTTCTTCGCAGCAGAGCTTGACTTTCGCAGTTTCAACCTGTTGAGAATTGCAAGCGAGAGAGAGAAGCGAGCAGACCAAACTCCTCATTCTGTGTGCTCGCCACTAAAAAAGAGTTCGCTGGTTCGACTCGCTCGCTTCATTCGTGTTTTCTCAGAGATCTGCTCAAAATTCTTGTGAAATAATTATATTTAAAATGTCAGCTAAACTCGACCAAAACACATTTGGTTTAAGGTTCGAACCGATTCGGTTCAAACCTGATTTGTAGCCTTGATAGGCATAGATTTTCAAGATATGATATGGTTAGGTTAACAGTTGTAGTTGCAGCGTTTTGTTGCACGTTTCACCGTTCAGATACTTCTCGAAGCGCTGTATCTTTGCCAGATCTCTGGGGTAATTGTTGTGAAATTAGGCAGCATGGCAACAGCGCTCGAGTTTGCCGCTTGCCGCTTGCCACATGGCACTAGCAACCGGCTACTTGCCACTAGCCGCTAGCAGCTAGCAACTTGCAGCTTGCAACTTGCAGCTTGCAACTTGCGACTTGCAACTTGATATGCCATTAGCCAGACATTGTGAACGTTGAGTCCGCAATCCGTTGCCAGCCCACTTGGCCACTGGGCTTCGATTTTTGAAGTTGTTGCAAACTGCAGTGGAAAATTTCAATTTTGACATGGTGCGTTCTCCGGGGGCAGCAACAGCAGCAGCAGCAGCAGCGGCAGCGCAGCGACTGCGGGCAGAGCACTAATGTGGAACGAAACGGCCGCACAACGGGCGGGTGTGAAGTGGCAGGCGCGGCAGCTACGAAAATTTCTATGCGTGTATGCATGTGTGTGTGTGCGCGTCAGGAGAGAGAACATTTCCATCATCCTTTTTGGCCTGCCTGACGTTCGCGCTGCCTGCGCCGGCAGCAGCGAAACATGCTCAACCGGCACAAAAGTCACGTATGTATGTAAGCGCACACACAAGCACACGCAGAGAGAAAGAGAGACACGCAAATATATACAGAGGGAGATACATATGCATGTATGTGTGTATATGCACGCATTCGACTGAGCGACAGTTTGAGGAGAAACAGACAGAAACGACGACAATGCCGGGCCGGTTGTAGGTGCGCATGAGCGAGTCGGGCGTTGAGTGAAACAGCTGATGAGTGTCGAAGTGTTGAGAGAGAGAGCGAGCGAGAGTGTGAGGGAGAGCACGTAACAAGCAGCCAACTTACATCAGCCGTTTTGCACTCTTCTGCCTGTGTCTTGCTACCTGTACTCGCACAGCAATAGCAACAACTACAATTACAGCACCCACACTCACACACACACACACACACACACACAGACACACATATTGAGTATATACGCGCTTGTAGCGGTAGCGGTCTCTTTGCGGAGAGCACAACCGCTAATTGCTCAGCAAACACATACACAGCATTGTTGTTGCTTGTGTGGCTCACTCAAACGAGTCGCGGCAGCAGCAGCAACCACCACCACAACAACGACAGAGACGGCAGAGCAAATGAGCGAAACGGACGCAGGCCAGCCGGCCTATAAATAGCCGGTGCAGAGCGTTGCGCTTCATAGTAGCTTCGAAACACTGCTGAGATAAACACATAGAAAAGTAAGAAACGGCAAAGCAGCAAGAAAAGAAAGCAGCTAATACAAAAAACAAAATAGCGTGTATTTCAAATTTTCTACTGTTGGACATTACAAAAATACACAACAAAATTCTGTTTCACGAAGAATTCTATGTAAAAAGAAGAACACGTCTAAAATGTACTTGTAGTACTTGTAACTGTAAAAAGAAAAAAACCCAACAAGAAATTTTCAATAATTTTATGAAAATTATTAAATCTTATAATTGCCATCAAACAAATGCAACGGACCAACGCCATTTAAGTGATAAACTACAAACAAACAAACAAACAAACAACAACCAACAACAACAAAAGTGCTGTGATTTCCAACTACAAAACAACAACAACAACAAATCAATTTAATTTCAACTCAATCAGCAGCATAAATTTAAACAAACAACCAGCAAATTGTGATAAATAATAATAAATAACAAGAAAAACGATTAATTAAATTTGTTAAAGCGTTTCAAGTGATACAAAAAGAAGCGAAATCAATTCTTGAATTAGAAGCGAGAAAATCGACAACAGAACATTTTCCCCGAAACAAACTAAACGCCGAACATAATCAATATCAAGAATTCTAATGAAAATGGAAGTTCTCGCTGTGCAGTCTAACTACGGCGGCGTCCTGGGATCCAACAAAGTTCGAGGTAAGTTCTGCAAAACGAATTCAGCCCAAAAGCCACATGCTCTAGAGTGTTCCAGAAAACAGTTTCGAATAGTTTTCAAAAATCAAAAATCACTTGAACTCTTTGGCAAATCAAACTCAAATTTTCAACTCAATGCAAATTTTTCCAAAAAAACCACTAAGATTCTTTTTTTTATTTTAAATTCAATTAATTGTTTCCACAATGAATTCGAGTTTGTAAAGCATTGCAATTACTTAGCACATTTCATCAGATTTTTTGAGTGCAATTGTTTTTCTTTTTTATTGCAATTAATTTTTTAAAAAAATGCATAAAAAATCAATTTACACATGCAAAATAAAAAGGGCAACATCTGCTACAAAGTCACGTACGCAACATTTTGTATTACGAAAAGCAACAAAAAAAAAAAAAAACATTTTTTGTATGAAACAAAAACAAAGAAAAGCAAATAAAAAAAATGGACAAAAAATTGTGTAAAAAATGATTTTTTGTTGTCTTGTGTGTGTTGCTTGTCGCCCTCTCTCTCCCCATCTCTCTCTCTCGCTCGCTCTCGCACACTCAGTGCCCTCTGCCTGCTGCCGCTTTTATCTCGTTCGCTGCTTGTTGCCAAGCGCGGCGTTTGCTGCACTTTTATGTGTGTGCGTGCGTGTGTGCGTGCGTGCGTGTGTGTGTGTGAATGAACATTGAACAGCCAGAAAAGCTAAAGCTAAAAGCTCTAGCGAAATCAACATAACGCCGTTTTATCGCACACTAAGTCGCCCTCAGCCCGAAGTTGTTGTTGTTTGTGTAGTTTCTTTTGGTCTTTGGGTTTTGTTTTATTGGTTTCTTGTACTTATCAAAGTTTTGTTTTGTTTCTCTTGTTTGCGCTACTTTTAGATTGGACCAGCACATTGACACCGCCCACGTCCGCCGTTGCGGCCAAGAAGGTCGCCACCGTCGCCAACAGCGCCAGCAGCGCAGCCAGCAGCGGCAGCAGCATCATCGGCCGCGGCCAGAACACACACAGTATTAAGCACAAGCAGCAGGCGAGCAGCAGCAGCAGCAGCGGCATCGGCAGCAAGAAAACAAAATCTAGCAGCCATCCCATCAACAGCAGCAGCAGCTCTTACAGCAGCAGCAGCAGCAGCAGCAACAGCTCCTACAGCTGCGATGAGGAGGAGCTGCCGGCCTGCAGCGACGTCGATGTGGCCGCTGTTAGCGAGCTTTCGAACCGTCTGCTGGACAAGCTGCGCGAGGCGAAGGCGCGCCATTTGGCGTGCACCGAGGTGTCGCTACCCTGTGATCTCACGCCGAACATTGCGGCGGATATAATTCGCGTTTCGGAGAAGGAGCCATGCGGCACACGCGGCTGCACCATCTACGTGGAGTTCGAGGATGAGCCACAGAACTCGCGGCGCATTGCCTCGCTCAAAGTGGACCCGGAGACGGTCTCCACGTTCGAGGTGTATCTCACGCTCCGACAGGATCATCGCGGCTGGACGGCCCTGTTGCCGCAGTTCATGAAGAGCCTGGCACGCACCATCACCATCAGCCCCGAGTATACCATAACCAAGCATAAGCTTTACTCGGCCGATGGCCTGGGCGCCAGGCGCAGCTACAGCTTTGGCTCAAGCTCCAGCTCCAGCTCAAGCTCAAGCCATAGCCAGGCGATTGCAACGCCAACGATATAAGAGCGAGAGTGCAATCAGAGCTTAAGCGCGAGCACTTGTCGAGTGAGACAGCGCGAGCGAGAGAAAGAGAGAGAGAGAGAGACGGAGACGCAGTTATATTTATATACACATATATATAGAAGCGAGCCCAGCGAGTGCGACAAAGAAGCGCGCCCAACACCGCCCAACACCCCCTGTGATGTCGAGAGCAGTAGTTAGTTGCGAGCGCAACGCGACGACGAAGCAAGTATTCGAAGCCACCCCACCTACACAAATACACACACACACACACACACGCATACACATTAGTATACGACACTCACACTCACAAACACACTCATACTAATAACAAGGAGTTGCTGTTGAGCCTGCGCCGCTCGCTCACCCGCAACTCTTTGCATACAATTTTGTAATTGTGACTCTCACCACCATTTTACTTAGATGCGTAGTAGATGCTATAAAAAGCAGCAACAAAACAAAAAGCAAAACAAATAACTAGTGTTTTAAGTTGTTTCTCCTTTTTCAACAAACGAAAAACAAAAGCAAAAACAAAACAATTATAAAATAAACAAAAAAAGAAAACATGAAATTCAAAGACGGCGATCCGCAAGCCACAGCAGCGAGCGTCAGGGCCAGGGCCGGGCTGGCAATTGTGTTGCCAGCCCTCGCTCTGCCTCTCTCGCTCTCTCTGCTGGGCCGCTGCGAGGGTCGCTCGTCGACAACTCATGAATATGTGATACTGTTTAAGATGCTAAGAGTTTTTTGCGTGCGCTCGCTAGTACGGCCAGGCAAAAAACGTTGATAAATACACACACATACACACACGACACACACCCACACACACACATACACACATACAAATAAAAAAAAAAACATAAAAATTAAATGTGAACAGATTTTTTTAATTGTATGCTATTGTAGTAATAAACAAAACAAACAACAAAAACTTGATCTTGATAAATTTAAAATTTAACATACGTTTAATGAGAGAAGCATCGTAAAAGAGAGCTGTAAACTCTGTTGATCCAAGGATCAGCTGCGAGTGTGAAAGAGACGACGATACGAAGAGACGAAGAGACGGAGACGAACGATCCAATTTTAGTTAGACGCAGCTTGCTGCATTAAAAATTTTTTAAATTATTTATTAATCTTAATTAAAACCAACAAATTTTAGGATTTTAACAAATTTTTATATATTATTAAATGTATAGCGCGTACAACAAAAACATCATTAAAATTACAAACAAACAAAAAAAAATAAAAAAAAAAAAACAAAAAAAGAAAATTACCACATAAAATGAATAATTGCTTTAATGTTAAGGCAAAAGAATATCTCAGTAAATGTGAAAGCGTAAAAAATTTGTAAAATTTTTTTTTTGTCTGTGTAAAACTCCAATTGCGATAAAAAACAAAAATTGATAACCTAAATGTAGCAGCAAAAACTGATAACAAAAAAAAGAACTAAAACAAAACAAAATTAATGCGATATAATTTTTAAAAAACTAAAATTAACGTAACAAAGAAAACTTAATGTTCTCTCACACACACACACACACACCCACACACACACACTTACACACAAAAGTATCTATACCAGCTTAAAGTATCTTTATCTTTAAAATCGAAAACTATTTATTATAAAAAAAAAACAAACACACACAAAAAACTATAAACAACAAGAAATGCATGTATTAATTTTTTATTATTACAACAAAAACCAACAACATATTGTATTTAATGTTAAGTTTTTTTATTGCGTAATTTAAAAATAAAAACAAATAATTGTGAGAAATTTGTAACCAAAATGTAAGCAAAACACAAAAAAAAAAAAAAAACAAATACAACACATACAAAAGAAGCAAAAACAAAGGCAAAAAAAAAATTACAAAAATAAAAGCATATAATTTTTCCTGCGCTAGCGGAAAATAATTGTGGAAAAAAATTAAAACAAAACGGCTTTCTATTTTGTCAGGGGCAGCATGGCGGTGGAGAGGGAAGGGAGGGGTAGGCTCCGCTTGTAGCGGGTGCTCTGCGCCGCAGCGTGCAGCTTTCTTTTGCAGCCAAGTGAAGTGCGGCAACGTCGCAGCAACTGCAGCAAAAGCAACGCCAACTGCAGCAGCAGCATCAGCTTCAGCTTGAATCGCAGCCTACGATCTGTGGCAGACAATTGGAGTTAACCAGTTTGGGCTTTGCTAGCCCGGTTTTCAGTACGCTGGCCAAGGCTAACGGGGCGCGGGCGGCGACGAGCTGTGAACTTGGCTGAAAAGCGGCAACAGCGCAACACGACTGCGACACTTGTCAAGAAAGAAGCACAACTTACTCTCAAATACACTAGAAAGAGTTCAACTTTTGAAAAGACTCAAAACTAGCATGCAGCTACTGTAAAAAGACTCAAGACAGGGCATTTCTCCAGATAAGAAGAAAATATATACCCTATAATATCGTTTTCTTATCAACAAAAGAAAGAGTTCAACTTTTGACAAGACTTAAAACTAGTATGCAGCTCCTGTAGGGAGACAGTTAGACTCAAGACACGGAATTTCTTTAGATAAGAAGAAAATACATAACCTAAAATTTCTTATTTTAGAATACTCTCAAGTACAGAAGAAAGAGTTACTCTTGTGTTTACTCAAGTCAAAGCATTTATTCAGGCTATAAGAAGATAGAATACCTTTTGCTTCGTTTTTTTTTGAAGCAGCTCACAATTCCTTTTATTAGCAACAATTAAATTGTAGCCACTTTACTCATTTAATTGGAACGTCACGTAGGCTGTCGGGAAACTCTAGCACCTTTCTGTAGCACTTGGAGATGATTCTCTTGCCATCCGTCGCATTTTAATTATTCTTATCCACATAGCTTACACTGTAGCCATAAGATAGCTTTCCGATTTTATAGTTGCAAAATCTCTGGATATCTTATATGTCCCATGAAAATGGGTAAACAGTTTAAGAGAGGCCTTTAAACTACATGAGTGTATTCTTGCCAAGTTCTCTCTTCTCTACAGTCTTTAGATTTTGAATAAAGGTTCTCCTAGTTTCGCCTGTCTGTCCGATCTCTGAGTCTATCAGAGCTAGAGACATCAAATATTAAACTTGATCGTACCCCCATATATTATTCTTACTATTAATACGCATGACAAATATTGGGCTCATATCATTTTATTGTTTTGATACACCTACCACAGCTATCTGTTCCTGGCCAGATAAGCTGCTCGACTTGTATCTGTTGCGATTACTCATTGAGAATATGCTTTCTTCTTCGGACTCAAATCGACATGAAGAAATCTTCAGTTCGTTCCAAGTGAATGCTTTAAATAGTTAATCGAAATTCAAATGAAAATTCTCACGACAGAAAAATGTGAAATGAAATCGCGTCACAATTTCGCATGTTTTCTTATTATGAAAATATTTGTTTTTTGAACTTTGATTTTAATGTTGTTGTTCGGCTAGCGCCACGTTTGGGCTGGACGAGAAGAGGGCGGAAGAGGTGGGCCGTGGGAGGGGGGAGGGCGAGGAATTTTCAATTTTGCTGACGCGTCTGACGCTGATAATTTCCTTGATTTTGTAATTTATAGTTGTTTTTATGAATATATTTTCGAATATTCTATTCGTTCGTTCTTTTAGTGGAACACGTTTCGGAAATGCGACACACGCGTTCCAAACAACAACAACAAAAAAAAAAAATAGAATACTTATTCTTTTGGCCCTATTTTTCCATAGTTACCGCCCCCCTCCCCAGACCACCCACCCGCGCCCGCCGAAGCGTGGCACCTGTATAAAGTTGGAAGTGTCTCGAAAATAAAACATCTGTGCGGTATTTCCCCAAATGAAACATCGATTCGAATGAAAAGCGGAGTCAGTAACAGAAACAGCTGAAGGAGTCTTGACAATGTTTGCAATATTATTTAACCCGAACTTGTTGTCCATTGTTTCGCTGAAAGGCAAATATTTGGCAGCGAGGGGGTGTGTCATACATGTATGTCAACCATTTGCTGGCATATCTCAAATACGGAATTTTTGTTATTGAACGAAAAGCAACAATTCGCAAATATTTTCTCAAGTCCTCTCCGGTTTATTTTCGAATAGCTCTCAATGAGACATGTGCCAGCCGTCCAACTATTTCGACTTTCATATTGTGTTTGCATTAGCTTTAAGATTTCCAACACTTGTCTGGCAATTTATATATCCATATATATTTATATATATATGATCGCTTGGAAATTTTACGGGCTCTTGAGCTTTCTGTTTGGGCACGTGTCGCAGAAACTGCGGAAGACTTTTGCGGCCTCAGATAAAAAGATATACATATGAATATATATAAGGTATATATACATATATATAAGACGATCAGTTAATCCTTTGAATGTAAATATTTCTACAACCCGCTGATAAAGTCTAGTTGAGCTTCAGCCCAGACAGAGTACCTGAGTCTGAGCGTCTTATCAATACGATATGCGTGAATCTATGAGCATTACCATTATCAGCTCTTTGAAAGTAAACAACTTTTATTGCAGCAAACACTTGAGCCTGAGCATAAGTACTACCTGTTTCTGCAGATACGGGGCTATGCTGAGCACATGCCCATATATGGGCAGGTGTACGAGGCAAGGAAAGAATTTGAGAAACTGAAATTAAAGAGGGGTTCATTGTAAAAACTCTACAGATATTTTGCAAGTATTTCAGCAACTTATTATCATATAATTGAAGTTTCTGGCGTATTCGCAAACCCGATCGAGTTCCGGAAATAAAATCTTGATCTTTCTATCGCCAGACACCAATTTGTCTACGGACAATCACAGCGATTAGTTTCTTTGACCTTCGAGAGACCTTCTTCTTTTGCCCTCCCTTTGTTCCGGGCAACCACAACAGATCGTACAATATATTATTCGATATGGACACAAGCCAGCCCCTTGCCCATTTGCCCTTCCTCTTCTTCTTCTCCGTAGTCCTACCTAATAGCCAGCGATCCTTGAGGTGAGTTCCTCAATTGTATTTTTAGATATGTGCTCATATGGAACACATATATATGTGTGTGTGTGTGTGTGTGCCTTGTGTTTATGTTCTGTCTGTTCTGTTTTGTCAACTTGTCGTATCTTTTTTTTTATATTTTCTATTTTGTGACTGACTCAATTGGTGGTATCGCTTAGATTTGCCTGTTTCAAAAACTGATAAGCGCGTTTGTACTTGTCATTACAATTGTAGGCACTGTTACACTGTGAAAAACAAATGGGTGCAAACATTTAAGTCGAGCTCGAGCAGCTGAAATTTTAAGCTATAGTAGCAGCATATCAGCTGTAAATAAAAGAATTTTAATCAAAAAAAATATTTAATTTTTTAAAGTAATAAATTGTTTATATTAATTACGACAAAGTTTACTCAGAGCTTGTTATAGAGTATCTCAGTGTGGGTAGGAAACATAGACCTGTTTAAAAATGGTTTGAGAAAGAGTCTCGTTAGGAGGGGTTCACTGTAATACTCATTTTTTAGACTTTTTCAAAATAAAATAAAAAATGCCTATATTTTAGAAACTATCAAGTGTGCTCTATGCATTTCTCGCAGTGTAGAGTCTAGATGCGTGTGTGTGTGTGTGTGTGTGTAATGTTTGCGGCCGTAGCTGTTGCCAACGGTGCTGTGCTGTGCGTTGTGACTGTGGCTGTGAAAACAATGGCGACTGTTGCGAGGCAGGAAAGCGGAAATGCGAACTGGGCGAAGAGAGCAACAACAACAACAACAACAGCAGCAACAGCA